TTCACCAATCTTAAGCTCACAAACCACTTTTTTTCTCACTTAAACTAACTTAAATCGCTACGCTGTCAAAGTTGTTTAGCAAACTGTAGAGTTTTCTAAACAAAAAAAACCGGCACGGACAAAGGGACTAACAATCACACCGCTCTATCTCATTTCTATGCAAGACGTATGCATAAATCTATCTTTTTCGTGTGCGAATGCGACAGAAGGCGTCAATTTGTGTATAGGTTTCTCTGTCTACGCTCAGCAAACTACACTTTGCTAAACAATTTTGACAGTTCGTAGCGATCTAAGGAGTTTACAAGTAGGTTTAAGTGAGAAAAAAAGTGTTCTGTGAGCTTAAGATTGATGAATCTTGTTCAGTTCAGTTCTTAGAACAATAATAGTTTGTTTGCTTGAAGTTTATGAAAATAAATCACTGGGATATGGAGTGTAGAGGTAAGGAGTACAGACTCTGTATAAAAAAGTGTCCGTAGGAAATCGTTAAATAAGGGTGGCGCCACTGTAGCTACAGTCTAAATTTTAAAAAACTTTTTTTAATTTTTTATTGCACAGACTTTCACCATAATTCTTTTTACAATAATTATTTTATTTCTTTCAAAATCACTCTTAACATATTTTACGGCGATTTAACATACCCCGTAGCTACTCGAGCGCTGTACTGGAGAATTTTCTAACGGTTATTTACTACTTACAGGGACAGGACACTTTTTCAACTATTTTTCTATGGGAGTTGGTACGCCTTCCTTCTACAATCCATACACTGGGCGATCGCGAGCATAGAAAATTTCACTGAATAGTGCATTTTATAAACGGCTGTGGATACTTACTGTTTGGGCTGTCTGATTAAAAATTGTGAACAAAGGTGACGGAAAAGTTTATTATTTTGTTTTGTGAACTTTGTTAATTTTCCCTCTATATTCATATTTTTTGTTTCGCGATAGGAGTGGTTAATATTACCTATTGCCTACGTCTAAAACGTAAATTAGGTCCTATAGCAATTTTTTCATAGATTTTTGGTTGTACAGGAACACTTGAAGATTCAAAATAATAACATTCATCATTATCGGCAAAAAATATAACAAATTAACTAAATATTTGTTAAGTTTTGCCCATTTTTTTAATTACCGTGTGACACTTAATGTTTTATAAACCAATTTCTTTAATTTCATTAATAATAAACCATAAACTACACTTTTAATTTTTTGCTCATCTAATTTTAAACTACCGATTGGTGTGACAACAGCATCGATGTCGAGTAGGTAACTTCAACATCGATGTTAAGCTATCGATATCAACATCGATGTCATCATCGATGTTTCTGCAATATCGATCATCCCTACAACATAGACAAACACCGCACTAGGCATGAGGCCGATATATCTACGTTAGTACTCACAAACTAATAAGAGTACTAAGTTAGTATTCTTATTAGTTTGTGGATATATCAAAACATAGCTATTAACGTTACGTTTTCGAAATATCAAATCATATCGATAAACTTAAGTTAGAAGGTCTATTTTCTGGATGTTTTCGCTGTTAGTCTATGCGACTCGTACAGCTTTATCTGCCTCGACTCAGGGCTCACGCTCGTAAATTAGTAATGCTCACTGACCTCTATATATACAGCGTACTTGTATATATAGAGGTCAATGGAAGTACTCGATTTAAATATGTAAGTTTAACATCCTTTTTTTGGTGTATGATAAGGTGACAAACGAGCACACAGTCCACTTGATGGTAAGAGGTTGCTGTGGCCCATAGACATCTATATCTAACCTCGAATACAAATCAAAGTGTAGATGCGTTGTCACCCGTGAGGACTAAGATGGAATGCCTCGTTTCCAGTAAAAAGGGTCTCCGGTTCTCTACACTCACCATACGAAACACAGCAGCATTAAGCTACTATTTCACGTTGGTATTCTGTGAGAGCGTGGTCCTTCCCCGGTCGAGCCGACCCATTCGTGCTAAGACTATACTACTAATATAACTGCATCGTGGCTCTACCACGTAAAAAATGGTGAACAAAAGTTAACTTACGGATATGGCTAGTTCATTAGATATAATATCTGTTACAGAGACGGCTTCTTCTTTCAGGTGAATAATTCTATATTTCATTTCATGGTTAGTACGAAATGAATTCGTATTGTTTTAATTATGTGCAATAAAATCAGAGAATTGGAAAAATGCGAATATTATAACTACAATTAACCAAAGAACATTAAAACGTAATGACCATAGATTACTGTATTAGGGACTGTACTAGAGAGTAATGACTTTGACTTACTTTAAATATGACACAATGCATTTGAGATAAAAATTAAAATATTGTTATCACTGGTGATGAGTTTGGTTTTAAATACCTATTCAATTTAAATAACTATTTATAACTAGCTATATGTCCCGGTTTCGCCTGTATAGGATCTATTAACTACTTATGAATATTTCTTATAGTTTGTCGAATAAAATGTAGCCCAGATCTCTCTTGGTATTGCTCTTTATTTTTTATTCTTTATATATATATATATATATATATATATATATATATATATATATATATATATATATATATATATATATTTAAATCGACGAAGACTTCTTGCGTCTTTACAGACTACCACCCTGCCGCGTCCACTGTATGCGGCAAGATTTTAAATGTTTTTAATTGTATTTACGAAGTTTTAATCAGTATGATTTCATTAGTCGACGTGGAATTTCAATTAAAGATGATATGTTAATATTCACATTTAAATAATTCCCAGTAACTCCTTTAAATAATCCTCAGTACGTCCGTTCACCACCAAAATTATCCAGCACCCTGAATATCCCTGTATACCATCTATACACTGCATAAATGTTCCTACCTCCATCGAAACTTACGCTTAAACTGATTCTGTATAATTTCCTATATATGATACAAAGATTACGATAGTAAAGTTAAATCCATCAATTTTGGAAAAGATTGTGATTCCGTATACAGTTTTTATATTTTGTATTCATCGTACTAGTCAACCGGCTTCCAGCTATATCAGCGATTACACTGTTTCTGATATATCAGTAGATACAATTTTTATGTTAGGTCAGATCCTTTATACCCCTAAGGGAATTAATTGAGAATTTTGCTTATCAAAGTGCTATTCGACATTATGAAAACACGAAATAAATAGCTTATCAGTGTTGACGCACGTTGTCATACATTTTGCAAAAGTATCCTTTCAAATGTCTTTGATCAGTTAGTGGATGTACCCAGTACCTATGGCGGCGGCGTTGTTTACGTTTTCTATTTTTCAATTTCAATATCAAAGCTACAACACATGCTGCTCGCCAGAAATCCATGGTGAAATGAAATAAATTTAAGCAAAACGCTAGCCGCAGTGCGTGTTGATGCGCGTTTTTGCGTTTTCAGCTATTCCTAAACCGCGCGCGTTTAATCGCAGTGCGTGCTAAGCCTAAGTCTTAAGGACGGACTTAGATTATCTGACGTTGTATATATTCCGATATATTTGAGCAAGATCACAAGAATTTGCCTACTTTGGATGGTTAAATATTATTGATCACTTTGAATGTCTCTAAGTATTTGATCACCTTGACTTCCACCTTCCTATTGACAATGACTGTACAGCATTTTCAACACAAATTTTTTTCTGGTTAGGATTCCAACCCAACCAGAAGTGCGTTCAAACCAGCAGTCCTACTGAGGAAAATTAGAAATGATGGGAATCGTGGTTAGCTCAGTATTAATGTTCGACGTTTGATTTTGTTATACTGATTATGTAAATGTATCAGTATATATTTTATCATATGCAGGTCCCGAAACACAATGTCAAACGGATACGTGGTGATAAGCTAGGTTGTACCAGTTCTAGCAAAAAAAAACCCTGGTTAATCCATACTTGGTTAAGCGATAATAGGAATACTTTTGAAAATGGTAAAAATAACATCCTAGATCACATATTTAGGTATTGTGATTAAAAATGACAAAATTTTTCGTTGCTTTTTTTTACGTTATTCTAAATAACTATGATATTGTTACGAGCTTGGGGTTCGTGACAGTTAAAACTGAATTACCAAAATTGACACTTTAATTACAATTTAAAACACAATAATAATAAATCACAAGCGATAGTAGCCTAATGGCAGGGCTCGGACCGCGAACTCAAAAAGGTCGTGGGTTCGAATCCGCCATCAACTACTGGCGTGAACCACTCGTAACACAAGCAATTTAAGCTTACCACGAGTGGTTAAGGGGTATATTAGTAATGTTTGTAGCATTGTTAATATTCTTTAAAAAAAAACAATTCGCAGCTAAATCGCTTCGAAGTATTCGCTTGAATCACCAATTCAATACTGGCCCGGTCGTGGCCCATAATGGCTTTATTTACGGGCCTCTTCCACTGAAACATCTAAAATGTTCAGGCCCATACCGGTCCCGATCGACTAGGTATAGAATGTTCTAGTGTGGAATTTTCTAGAAAGATTAGTTCTGCTACTTGACACTAGATGGCGCTAGTGCCATGTACCAGGCATAAGCTAATTAAACGTAAAAAATGTGTTTTTTACCGGGATCGATTTTATTTTCGTCACATCATCAAAGATTTCCCTAATACTGTCGTCTGTCTTCGTTTTCGGGAGCGTTTCAAAAATACCCGTATAAAATACAAATAAATATATGTATATACTTAGTAGAGATGAAACGGATAGCAGTTTGGCCGGATACCGGATATTCGGCCGACCAAGTGGCCGGATAGCCGAATATCCGGCCGCCGAATATCCGGCGAAACTTAGCCGTTTGCGTAGGCGTCGCGCGAACGATCGGATGGACTCGGTTCGATTCGGGTCTTTTCGTTGATGAGTGAAGTTAACAATTGTACAATTTTATTATTGTGTCGATTGCATGCAGTGCAGACACGTGCGTGATCGTTTTTAGGTTATAATTTTATTTGTGCTCTTATTATTTTAAGTACATACATACATAAGTCTAAAAGATTTAGCAACGAGAAATGGCATCGGTGAAGAAAAGATCGCCTTTATGGGAATACTTTGACATAAGCAGTGAAAATAAAAAGTTAGCTCTTTGTTTATTATGCAATGTTAATATTTCTCGTGGCGGCGAAGGGAAAAAAGCAGGTATGTATCTAATAATAAATAATCTAATTGCAATAATTTTAATACCTATCAAGTAAAATTATATCTTGCAAGTTTCGTAACATATTCAATAATTATTGATTTCGGGGTATTTCGTTTTTTAGGTATTTTTCGATAGGCAACTTAGACTGGTAGTGGTAGCTATGAAGCTGTGTTTTTTTTTTATTGTAATTTATTGATTATCTACCTACGAGTATCTAGTTGTTAGGCACATATTATGTTAAGTAAATATAATGTTTAATGTTATTTATAGTAGTATTTCTATTTTTATGGTATACCTACTTATTTTACCTTTATTTATTTATACCTAATTAAGTCATTTTTTTCTAGGTACTTCTGCTATGAAAAATCATTTAAAATCAAAACATCCAGATGAATTTAGTGCTTTAAATAAAGACAAGAACGCTGTTGAGCCTACTACAGTTTCTATAGCCATTGCGGGCACAAGTTCATCTTCAGTAGCAAAAACAGCAATTGACTATGACAGAATCTTACGAAAGGAAATTCCTCTGGAATATAAATGATACTAAAGCGAGAAAGTACCATTATTTAGTAGCTGAAATGATTGCACTCGACAACGAGCCATTGTCCATAGTGGAAAGAACCGGTTTTACCAGGCTCTTAGAACAAGCTTTACCCCGCTATAAACTGCCAAGCCGGACTTATATTACCCAAAAAATCGTTCCTGATATGTATGACAGAATTTACGAGAAAATCAAAAGTAACATTTCGAGTGCCTTCGCTATTTCAGTGACATCTGACATATGGACTTGCTTACACAATAATGCTAGCTTTCTGAGTTTTACAGCTCATTGGATATCATCTGAATTTAAACTAGAACACGGAGTTCTGGCAATGAAGCCTTTCTCAGGTTCACACACAGGAGAAAATATAGCAATGGAACTCAACAATGTCGCAAACCGCTGGGATATTGAGCACACTAAAATACATTTGTTCATTCATGATAGTGGTGCTAATATGGTGATGGGTGTTCGTTTGGTTAAATACGATTCTGCTAGATGTTTTATATATACGCTTCAAAGAGCCATAAACGAGTCGCTCAAAGTCCAGACTGAAGTAACAGCAACAATTGCTGCTGGAAGGCGACTTGTGACGCACTTCAATCACTCAGGTCTAGCTCAAGAAAAACTGCTGAGGATCCAGAAAGAGCTAAGTTTACCCGAGCATCAGTTAGTGCAAGATATTAGCACTAGGTGGAATTCCACTTTTTACATGATTGAGCGTTTGTTAGAACAGAAGCGGGCCATATCATTGTATGTTGCTGATAACAAGGCTGTTGATGGAGCAGTGTATCAATTTATTAAAGCCCTTCGAAGAAATTACTAAAATAACAAGTTCTGGACTATCATGCGTGTCGGAAGTTATACCACACGTTATTGCTTCTAAAAAAATACTTAGATAAAACTGAAACTGAGCAAAGAACTCCTGATTTATCACATATGCGAGCCTCGTTAAAAGCTGAGTTAGAAACTCGTTTTACCTCCATAAGTCAAGACTCAAACTAATTGATTGCACCTTATCTAGACCCTAGATTCAAAACAAATTACTTGGGGGTGATTGAAGCTGCAAAAGCACGCCAGGAGATCTTATTGGAATATTTGAAAATGTCTTGTGAAGAGTCTTCAAGTAGCAGTTCATCTTCAACACCGGCTAAAAATAGTAGAGGAGAGGAGACAGAGCCAGCTCTATCTTGCAAAGCTCGTGACACATTTTGAGACTGCTTTGATGAAGTAGCAAATGAAAACAACACTGACCAATTGCAACGTGAAGAAAGAAATGCGATAACCTGTGAGCGGGATTTTTATCTCAAGTCAGTGCGAATTGATCGCACTTGCGACCCTTATTCTTGGTGGGCAGCTAATGCCAAACAATACCCAAATTTAACAAAGTTTGTCAAAATCTACCTTTCTGCTCCTTGCAGCAGTGTGTATAGCGAAAGACTTTTTTCTGAAGCTGGGCTTATTTATGAAGAGAAACGCAACCGCTTTAATGCAGAGAAATTACTATTTATTCACCATAATTTGCCCTTAGTGCAGTATGAGTACTAAATGTACCTACTAATTTATTCATTTTCCTTGTATTACATTAACTTACTATTGTGTAATTAAAAATTTAATACTTGAACTAATTATATTTAAGTAATGTGATTCTTACTAAATAAAGCAAATAATTACTCAAAAATATGTTTTCTTTTATCCAGCTTTTTTTTTAATCGGCCGGATGTCTATCCGGCCGAATAGTAGCTATCCGGTATTCGGCCGGATAGTATTATGGCGGCCGGATAGGCCGGATACCGGATAGTTACCGGATATCCGTTTCATCTCTAATAAGTCATCTTTGTAAAAAAATATTTCCTTTTTATAAAACTGCAGAATGATTAATTACACACATTTTTCCCATATTACACTAAACAGAACAAGAATATAAAAACCACCAGGTTTTTATTTCTTGATTCTGTTTAGATTTCCACAAAATCTGTAGGCCATTTACCATTATAATTTAGTATTTTCTTTTTAGTGTAATCCTATTGAGGGTCGTTAATATTTCCAGTGGGCCCAAAATTGATTGTCTCCTTTAGTAAAATATTTTTTTATTTATAGGAGAGGGGGCAAACGAGCATATGGCTTACCTGGTGGTAAATGATTACAGCCGCCCATGAACAACTGCAACACCAGGAGAATTGCAGATGCGTTGCCGGCCTTTTAAAAAGGAGTAGGCCCTTTTCTTGTATTTTTTTTTATAAAGTAATCTGAAGAAACCTGCATGTTTGAGAAATTAGATTATATTAGGTAGATAGAAATTAAAGTAGAAATTTAGAGAATATATTTCGAATATATGTAAACCTTCTCGAAAAGGAGAGAAGGCTTGTGCCCAATAATGGGACTAATATAAGCTGTAACATTAACTTTAAAGTAAGTTAATGTTACAGCCTAAGTCTGTATCGGTCCGGTAATATCTCTGGTGGTAGTTGATTCCTCAAGGAAGTTGTGCGAGGAAGAAAACTTCTTTTAAATCGCACGGTGGTGGACCACCAGTCATCCAGATGGTATGGATGGTATCGTGACTTTTGTCGCGATGTGCGATGGTGAAATTGTGCGGTCCGAAACATTCTTCTGAGTATTCCTCGTGGTAGATGTGATAAAATACGCAAAGAGATGCAACATCTCTTCGTAGTGCCAGTTAGTCAAGCTGATCGGAAAGAGCTCCGACCGAGTCGCCGACGATTCGAACAGCTCTGCACTGGATGCGATCAAATGGAAGGAACTGGCACTGTGGAGCCCCGGCCCAGGGATGGGGACAGTATTCCATGTGCAGCCGAACCTGCGCCTTGTAAACTTGCAGGCGGTGAGCCGCCATGAAATACTGTCCCGCTCTGCTGAGCTGAGTACGCCAAGCTTTTTAGAGGCCAATTTGGCCTTCTCTTTCAAGTGACCACGAAACTGCACGTAACTCAATATGTCGACGCCGAGGATTCAGATACTGGCTGGGAAAGGAGTGCTTAATACGAGGATATACGACGAAGGGTTTTTTTTAGCGGCAAACGCGCAAACTTGTGTCTTCTGGGGATTAAACTGGACTAGATTTAGTCGCCCCAGTCCGAGACTTTGTTCAACAAAGTTTTGACTTCAGACACAAGTTCATCCCGATACTCTGCGACGTTTTCCCGAGAAATATTGGCACGGCCGATGTATAAAGAATCACCAGTGCTGTCGTCTGCATAGCATTGAATGTTACCGGTTGGCAACATGTCGTCGATATGCAGAAGAAACAGCGAAGAAACTGGTAATAGCACGCAGCCTTGTAGAATTGCTACCAAAAAAACGCCCGGTTTTTTGCTAACACGACTGAAGTAACAAAGAAATTTAGAAAACGATTGTAAATATACATTAAAAGAGATGAATTTATACAGGACATACAATTACGTCTACTCAATAATGAAATCAGTGTTGGTCATTTACTGGACATATTGCAGAATTTATAAATTACTTATTATTATATTTATATTAACAAGGAAGTTTTATTTGAATTAAATGAAATACGTTTTGAACATCTTGATATTCACAGACATTATTACACGAAAAAGGTTTTTCTCCGGTATGTTATTTTATGTGTGATTGCAAATTATATTTTCTAATACATTCATATTCAGAGATATTACACGAAAATGGTTTTTCTCTGGTATGTACTTTCATATGCATGGGCAATTTGCCTTTTTGACTACATTTATATTCACAGATATTTCACGAAAAAGGTTTTTCTCCGGTATGTAATCTCATATGTGTTTTCAAGTTACTTTTTTGAATACATTTATATTCACAGATATTACACGAAAAAGGTTTTTCTCCGGTTTGTATTTTCTTATGTCTTTCCAAATTAGGTTTTCTAATACATTTATATTCACAGATATTACATGAAAAAGGTTTTTCTCCGGTATGTAATTTCATATGTGTTTGCAAATCATAATTTCGAATACATTTATATTAACAGATATTCGCGAAAAAGGTTTTTCTCTGGTATGTAATTTCATATGTGTTTTCAAGTTACTTTTTTGAATACATTTATATTCACAGATATTACATGAAAAAGGTTTTTCTCCGGTATGTAATTTCATATGTCTTTGCAAATCACAATTTCGAATACATTTATATTCACAGATATTACATGAAAAAGGTTTTTCTCCGGTATGTAATTTCATATGTGTTTTTAAAGAACATTTTCTAGTACATTTATATTCACAGATATTACACGAAAATGGTTTTTCTCCAAGTATGAATTTTCATGTGTTTTTGCAAATAGGCTTTTGTAATACATCTATGTTCACAGATATTACATAAAAAAGGTTTTCCTTCGGTATGTATTTTCATATGTGTTTTCAAGTTACTTTTTCGAATACATTTATATTCACAGATATTACACGAAAATGGTTTTTCTCCGGTATGTACATTCATATGTATCTGCAAATCACATTTCCGAATACATTTATATTCACAGGTATTACACGAAAAAGGTTTTTCTCCAGTATGTATTTTGATATGCCTTTCCAAAATATTTTTTTAATACTTTTATATTTACAGATATTACAAGAAAAAAGTTTCTCTTCGGTATGTTTTTTAATATGGTTTATCAAACTGTTTTTAATTATTTGATTCCCTTTTGTAATAACTGGTTGCCTGTCTTTTTACAGGTTTTCTTTACGAACATCGTTTATGTTACAATCAGTCGAATTTGATATATTTGTTTGTATACGGTGCTGATCTGAAATACACACGAATTAAACATGTCATTTATTGCATGACATTCTATCCTTATTGTAAGACACCTTAGACGGTTTAAAATGGGCGGAGTTTATACCTTGTGGCGTTCTATATCATTCAGCACAGGGAGAAATAGAGAAATTATAATATTTTAAGTAATTATAATCATATAATGTGACTAGTTATAAAGTATTTTAGCCAATTAATCTGGATAATGTCCCTTAAATAGATTTTTGGGAGGAAAGAAT